TATATATAACGTATTTTCATCTTCATTATTTTGCGTTTCTTACCTGGAGGAAGTCGCTGACATAACCGAGAGCTTCCCCGAGACGCCGGAGCCTTGACTACCAACCGACGATAATCTAGATGTTCTACCGCTGATGTTGAGCAAACATATCTCCGAGCAGTTACTGTCTTTGCGTTCACGATCCTGACCTAGCTGCTTGCCGCTATAATCCGATTGGGATCCATCGGTTTCCTTTCGTTTTCGCCTTTTGGACTCCCGTTTGAGATCCTGTTCGTGGATGGGATCCTGTAAATCCAGCTCCTCCGTAGAAGACCTCAGATCTTGAGCATCTTCCTTATAACCCAGAGTCAGCTTGCAACCTGACGGAGGATCCGCACCTAGAAATTCACGGGATCTCTAGAGTTTTCATTCCTAAACGGCGTTCTCCAAAAGTTTCTAATAATTTTTAAAGTCTATGTAGATTAAATCGGACGTTTAAATGTTACGAAAGATTTCTCCCTTCTTGCACTTGATATCATCAATCGTCCGTATGATCGCCTATAACGTTTGCACAATTTAACAAGTCTATGTCACGTCTTCTCGCGCTTCCTACAAAATGTATAAGTGTATCGTTCGGCCACCCGAATTTTCCATCCGGCTCATACTTGAGTTACATATCAACATTCAATATTCATTACTTCATGTATTTTAAATCCGTATAACAAATCAAACTAACCAAGACTCCTTATAAATCGAAAAATTGGAAAGAATACGGGCGTTAGGAGTCAGGCGCAGAAGACGTCGCGCAAATAATACACTTATGAAGCTTGAAACTTCTTTATTCAACAAACGCGCTTGTTATTAAGCTTGTAATTAGCGCGTTTGTTGAATAAAGAAGTTTCAAGCTTCAAAAGTGTATTATTTGTGCGACGTCTTCTGCGCCTGACTCCTAACGCCCGTATTCTTTCCAATTCACGTATTTTAATTGCGTGTCTCGTATCACATATAGGAAAGACTTAATTTTTTTGTATATTTAATTTGCAGCAACATTTTTATGACAGCAACATTTGACCAGATATGTATAAAGAGAAGAACTAACACTTATAGCATTTTAGTCAAGATTCATAGTGTCTGTATAGATAATCTATCACTTCTTTTTTTATGGCATTATCTTTGGTATCTTTTTTCTGCAAAAAATACTTGACGCCTTTTTTTTACATTTTTAATGTCTTTTCCGATAGATTTCACGAATTTTTGCTAAGTATTATTTTCATTATCATTTTCATACATTTACAAAATGGTTGATTATGTAAACATATTGCAAAATATACTTGATGTGCCTCTTTTTTTACATTTTTAATATCTTCCGGTTGATTATCATTTTCTAGCTTAGTTAACAAATATCAGTATATAATTTTGTTTTCGTGCAATTCCCTTTTGTTAAACATTAAATTATAAATAAATAAATATTGTTTGAAATGAATCGTTATTTCATTATCATTTTCTAGTTTAATTAAAAACTATCAGCTTATAATTTCATTCTGCCTGATCTTCATATTAATCAATCTTAATCAATTTACTCACACATGCTCTCATTCAAATTTATATAAATATTCATAAATATATATAATTATGTATGAGATATGTCCATACACGTTCATACATCCTTCTTTAGTTTATAAAATTACTTTTTAGTATACTAAAAATAATAATAATGAGAATTTTTGAAAAATATAAAAGAATTGCTCATATATAGTTGCATGTAAAATTATAGTCATGTATGAGCAAATTTTTTTGCATTTTTCCAAACTTGATTTTTTCTAAAATAAACAATGCGAAAATAGTCCCATTAACTATTTTTCATGTTTTCTCAATATTATTATTATTTTCTCAATATTATTATTATTTTTAGTACTAAAATTGACTAAAAAGTAATTTTACAAAAGAAAGAAAGATGTATGGACATATTTCATGTATAATTACTTATGATTATGAATATTTATGCGTGTTTAAATATGTTTATACATATATTTGTACATATTAATGTTTAAAAAATTTTTTACCAGAGAAATAAATAGATAACATTGATGAGTAGATAGATAACGTAAACAGGTGATAAATATAATAAATAGCCAAATAAAAACGTATATAGGTGAATAGGTGAAACCTATTGGAAGATGGATAGATAACATCGATAGGTGAATAGATAATGTAGATATACAAGTAAATATGTAAATAAATAAAATAATGTATACAGACAGATGGGATGTAGAAGAATTGGGAAAGATATGCAGAAACGATGCGAAGAAGTGCAGAACAAATGCGGAAGAGATGTAAAAGAAATGTAGAAGTGGTGCGGAAAAGATGCGGAAAAAGTGCAAAAGAGGAAACGGTAAGAAGAGATGCGGAGAGGTGCAGAAGAAATGCGAAATTAATACGGGAGAGGTGTGAGAGATGTGGTACTGTTGTAGAAAAAGTGCAGAAAAGGAACATGAAAGATGCGGAAGAGATGCCGGAAGGATGCGAGAGAGGTGCGGAAAAAGTGCAGAAAAGATGTAGAACAAGTGTAGAAAAGGTGTCGAAAAAGTGCAGAAAAGGTGTAGAAAAAGTGCAGAAAACGAGTGTAAAAAAAGTGCAGAAGAGGTGTAGAAAAGATTCAGAAAAAGTGTAGAAAGTGTTGAAAAAAGGTGTAGTAAAAGGGGACAAAATTTAACGAAGACGACGACGACGACGACGACGACGACGACGTATCTAAATGAATAAATGACATAAATTGGGGCTGAAAAATACGTGCACATATTCATATCTAAGCATCAAGTACACTTATGGACATGCTTATTATCTCATTTTAATTGTAAAAATCTATATTCTTCCCCCCAATATATGCATTTTTTAATAACATCAATTTGTTTAAACAAAACAATAATTTTTAATTATATAAGCGAGTTCATTCCTGTAAAGGATATATACGCTGTAGCGTCTGTTTCATGAGACATGGTATTATATTATTATGTATTGCAAAAATATACTTGACGGGAGCCGCTACCGCGTCTCCTGATACCCGTGCAAGACTCAAAAGTATTAATAGGTAAGAAGATTGTGTCAGTAATGATCAAATGAGGAATTTGACAAGATTCGAGGCTTTAATGATGTAATTTGTGCAGTATGTATGTCGTGCAAAAATCCACTAAATTAAATAATCGAGATGGACAATCGGTAGGAACAGACAATTTAATTAAAATTTTTCTAGTTGAATCGATCAAAACCTTGACCTAAGGAATTCTTTTTCAGAAACTATTCGAAATATGCACCTGTGCACGCAAAGTTCGCTTCTTTGTAACCGCCCAATAAATTCTCAATTTAATCGCGCTAATTCGCCTTGGATACATGTGTTCGATTACTACATCATTGTTGTGTATTATGCCATGTCGAACGTCGCAATTAATAAAAATTGACAGAAAATGACAAGATTGAATAAATTCAAACAAAAAATATTTACAACACTCGCCGCGTTTATTTAGACTGATTTATTAATTAAAAATATGCATACTTGAAAGTAATCTATTACATTCATAAAAATGCATTCGAATATTCCAAAAATATACATTAAATTGGCGATACTGAATCTATCTGTTTGGTATTTACACTAGTATACAGCTAACTAATATTATATGTACGTATATCTACGAAAATAATAGAATAGATTGCTCAGAGAATGAAATAAAATGCAAATATTGTTCCGAAATGTTTTCAAAAATACTCGGAGACTATAATCCGATTACCTACGAAACATGTTCAACTACTGTACACTTTAAAGGATCTTATTTCTGACCGAGTCTATATCGTATATCATTAATGTACATTCTGTCATTAATTACGCAGCCAACGTTAGTTAATTAATTATTAATTTTGAAATGATTATCGTATTTCTCGAATATATTTGTATTCAAAATATATGCATAGATTCATTTCATACCATCAATCTCAATACTCTGCTTGAATTTTTTTTATACCATTAATGATTATATATTCATAATACAGTTCCAAAATCCAAATTATATCCTTGAATGATACTTGATATATTTCAAAAGAATTATTTCATCTTTACTGTACCTCACACTTTACCGTAAAATACTTGTCCATTTATCAAAATCGATTAAATTAAATCAGTTCCAAATTTATCAAATTTATTATTTCACTTAAAGTTAGGTGAATATAGTATTACCAGAGTGTCACGCAGTGCAATTGGTGTCGTTGAGCAAAGTATAAAAAAAACTTGAAACTTGGAAGTAAAACGATTGGGATAGTAGTTTACAAAAGAGTAATCACCTGCAAGAAGCTCCCGTTCAGGTGACGAGTCCCTGGAATTACTATCCTCATGGTGCGAAGAACTGCTTGCTCTACTGATATCAATTCGTGGCGTGCTAGGGGTCTTGAGCGAACTACCAGGCGTTGCCGGCGTGGTGACCTCGACGATACCCGGCATTCGCCCTGCCGCTACCGCCGCTGCCGCCGCCGCCGCCGCCGCCGATTCTCCCTGCATTCAAATTCGTTTCCTGGTTTGTCGTAGCACAGTCACACGGGGTTGATTGGTTGGTTGTTGGGCTCAGGTCGCGGGCCAGCTTCTCGCAGTGACTCACAAAACTCACGGACGATCGAGAAGATTAATCTCGAGATCGCACACATACATCGGGATTCAAGTTCAGGATTTCAGAGAGATAGAAAGAGAAAAAAAGAAAGAACGACATAAAGGAAAGAAAGAAAAATAGAGAGATAAAGAGTGATGGAAGGAGAGAAAGGAAGCGATATAGAAAGAGAGCAAGAGGGAGGGAGGTAGGTAGGGGGGAGAGGGGGAGGGAGGGAGGGAGGGA